ATTGTGCAGGTCAATTTGGGCTGTGTCACTAAGCTTCAGTGCCAGAAAATATTGCCTTGCACATTTTATTGATTAAAGATTATACGTGTATGAATTACACTGAGTCCTTTTTTTCTTTAGCAAATCTCAGCCTTAATTTTTCTTAAATATATTACTCCCAGAATTGAAAAATCCATTGCTGACATAATTCTATGAATATGAACAGTCCCTGTCTTGACACAACACTGGGTCTTGTGCCTACATCTATTTAACAAAATCACAGAAAGTGCCCAGTTCCAGGGATTACCCCACAATTATCTGCATAGTCAGATTGCCAGTACTGTTGTAAGGGGACTCTAACACAGTCTTTGCTTCCTAAATCTGTTGGGCAATTGTTGGGTGAGGATAAGTATCCACATGGATGAGAGTTACGCTTTACTCTTTCAGTCAGAATGATCATTGGGTTTTTTGCTGGCTGTTGTGGGAGTAGCTGATGGGTAGGTGCAGCTCCACTGCCACAGGGCAGTGCCAAACTGACTCACTGCCTTCCTATGGAGCAGACTGGCACTAAACTACACACTCCTTGTCACTGGGCAAACACTGGGCCCGTGCAGAACCCTAACACATAATTATTATTTAATGTGCTTTTCAGTTCAGAATGTCAGAAGCAGCACAAGGTCTGTTTCAGCACAGCAGCATAATATTTTTATTGCAGAGCAGATGACCTCTAGGAAACTGCATGACAGTGACTATTTGAAGGTGCCAAGGTTGTGGGGATAGTATTGGAGGAAGCTGTTGGGCACACCAAACCCAATGCAATTTCATCCTCATTGCCTGGGAGGAGCAGTCTCTGGAGTCTGCAGTCAAAAACATCTTTGCTACTTGGTGAGACTTAGAACAAGTGATATAAATCTCCAAGGGGAAAAGACTGTCTTTGCTCCCTTGTGGTCTTTTATTTAGCAGCATGGATTCACCCAACATGGTTTCTACAGCTAAAACATGTATATGTATTTTCAAGATTAGGAAAGCAGTGATTTATTATCTTTTCACATGCAATTGCCTGTAGGATGAACAAGAACAGCTGTTCAATAGTGTTGAGCAGCAATACACAATAGTTTGCTGCAGGATAGGAAGGAGAGGAATTCCATAATTTGATTTGGTAGGGGAGCTTCTATCCCCAGAAGTGGCCAAATGTAGTTTTTTTCAGGAAATCTTTGTCTCACTGTGAAAAGTGCTATTGTCTCTTAATTACTACCAATGATAGCCAAGTCCTTAATATTACATCTGTGATGAAAAGCAGCATTCTCCAGAATCTCACAGAGGCATTGTCTGTGTTCTGGCACGGGTGATACAAGACCATCCCAGAATAACAGCACCCTCTTCTGATCAGTCCTGAGGTTCTTAGTTCTCCCACTATCCATCGCTGTCAGCTCCCATTACTGCAGTTTCCGAGCTCCATCATTTCCCAGCACAGTGCAGTGCAGTACAGAATGCTATGGGAAATGTAAGCATTCCCACAAAAAATGTATCTTCCTCTTTTTTTACTGAATAATGTGTAAAACAACATGCAAGGTCACACACAAGCAGGAATTATACTCACGGAATTGTAAAGGCAGAAGGATGGACCTGACTCCTGAGTCATTGTGTGCATTCTTTTGAACTTATAAATATTTTCCTCTGCTCCTTCCTGCCTCAAGGTTATTCAGCTTCACTATAGCTAAACAAACCTGGTCTGATGGTTAGCTGTGCTGCTATAACATTATTGTCAGTTGACAACCTATGCACACTTGCCTTGTAGAGGACACCATCCAGGAGTACATTATTCAAAATCAGTGGCAAGCATAGGCAAACCTGGAATATATTACATTTTAATTTAGACTTCAAATCAGTGCCACCACATTTTCAACATCAAGCATTCTACAGTCAGTACATGTGAAAATTAAAGTTGCATGCACAAATCTGTCCTCCCTTAAGTGTTCTTCAGGCCTCTGAATTGCCTACAAGAAATTGCATGTGAAAAGATAATAAATCACTGTCTGTCTTTGGTGCCTTAGGAAAAATAAAAGTACCCTTTAATAAGATGATCAAACCTGAAGGTTTGAAATTTGCACTTGAGGTTATATATGCACGAGCTGTCTCACCACGTAGACAACACAGTAAAGAGTTCTAGAATTATGTTAAGACTTGATGAATCCTTTTGACAGAACAGCATTGCTTCATCCTGGTTGCTCCACATTAGAGATCACTTTCCAGATTGTGCAGCTTTTAGAAGAGGCATATTAAGAACTGAGAGAGGCACACAGTTAACTGAAGCAACTTAATGAAAAAAAGCAAAACTTGAACTTATGCTCTTGTCATTATCAGCCCAGTCTCCCTTCCATATGAACCCACAGTATTGTTTAAATGAGGAAAGAGCAGCTGGAAAGGAACCAGTTTTTCATGATCCCATCTGGAGCTTCATCCTTGTGGCATACTTAAACAAGATGCTAGGTTGGTGCAGGGGCAGGACTGATAGGATGTTGATGGATTTTTGCAGACAGCCTCTAGCAAGCACTAGTGAGGAAAGCACAGATGGAGAATAGTGATTTTTGGCAGCTAACAATTGAGCCAAACCTGAATGGATTGGAGATATGAAGTGAGAAAAAGGCATCTCCCTGACCCCAAGACTATATTCACACCAAAATTCAAATTTCTTTTACAAAAGGGAAAAGCATTCAGCTGTCTGAAAACACCAAATACAAACAATTGTGTTTATTTTAAAAGTTGGAAAACATCATCCAAATTTTTATGCATACTAAAGTCAGAGATAGATATGACTTTCCAACCAAAAAGTATGTGAAACCTTACTTTTCTTGTCAAGTAACACATATTTCCATAAGCAGCTCAATGGTATTTCAAGAACTTGATGCCTTCCCAGAAATAACAAACAATTCAAAAGTTAGACCTCATGTGGGGGACCAATCTATCCTCACAATAGTTTACAATGAGTCTTTATGACTCTCCCTTCGCAGTGCAAGGGCTGTGATTGCCAGTGAGAGAGCTCATGTAAAAATGCAAGACTAACTGGTCAGAGGGAGCAAGCATAGCTGCATACACTCTTGAAATGAGAATCCAGAGATTCTTTAGGACAGCCTCCTATGTGAATACCAATTAAGTAAGTGAAAAGATCCTCAAGAGAGGCATATTTTAACTTATTAATACTTTTTAGAACCATATGAGAAATTAGAGGTCATAAATGAGAGTGACCTTACCCTAAAAAGATTAATACCCAAATAGACAGGAGGATAAAAAGAAAGTATTATTAACTCTGTACTACAGAAGTAAAAAATGCCTGATTCTAAGAGATCCTGACAGCTACAGCTCCAGTTTTAATAGACATAACTTTTTAGATATTCAGCACTTCCAGACCAGTTCTTAAGTGATTTTTTTCTCTGATATCTGAAGTCAAATACTTGAAACTTGTTTCCTGAATCCCTTATAAATACTTTAATCATGACACCATCCATTTACTCTTTAACGTTTTGCTTTTGGGCTTCTTGAGATAACAGAAATCACTTTTCCTTTAAAAACAAAATGCAGAAAGTAAAATACATTTGTATAATTACTACTCTGATCTCCTCTCCTTCTCCCAGACATAATCCCCCCTTGAAAACTCTCACTTAATGGGCCATTCCAGTAAACCCTTACAGCTTAAAGATTGTTATGTTTAATAGAAGCCTGTAAGTGTTGAAATAGCAAAACTTGCAGCAAGATTCCCCGAAAGCTCTGCAAAAGAACAAGCTTAATGGATTTTTAATGGTCCCTTTACAGAGTTATGTAAGGGCAATGGAGGCAGTGGTGGTGGGAGGTTATGCTTGTGCATAATATTAAAAATATTTTGAGTGCTTCACAGCAGCATCAATACCCAGTAGGACTATATTCTCATGGAAAGTTACATCAAGGAGTTTTTAACTAAATACAACAGATATTGCATACCTTTACTATGAGTGCAACCAATGCAATGCTCCTGGAGACAACATGGTACTCTTGTTGCATTAAGTATCCTCACATATATAGATTAAAGCACAAAACAAATGGGGGTGTCACATATCCAACAAGATAAGAGCTCCAAATCACAGATTTGTGAGCAAATACAGCGTTGAAAGCTGCTGCAAGGTTAGCAAAAGCTATAGAGTGAAAAGTTCTGGATTCAGAAAACCAGCAGTGACTCTAAGGGACAAGAAACTAAAACAAAGAACAGAGTTTAGCTGGAATTTAGAATGTTGTCTTTAGGAGAAAAAGACTAGAAGAAAATTATGGGAGATCAACAGCAGTTTAAATGATCTTTATTATGGAGAAGACAGAAAATTTCATGCATCATCTTGTTTTCAACCTCTATTCGATTGCTAAAACAATGGGCTAAATTTTATTATTGTGGAAATTATGCAAATTGTTTTGTAATCATTTACTTGATTCACTAATTACACAGGGTACCTGGTGACCTAATACAGTCCCTTATGATAATAAGGCCATCTAGATTTAGACACATTATCACATAGGCAAGCAAATAGAACAGCTCTCTCCTGGGTTTTCAGCTCTAGTTTGGAGACTGTTCTAATCAAAAGCTCTTAATCTGAACACACACAGAATACCTACAAAGAAAATATTGGAAAAATATTTTCATCTCTGTTGCAATGTATTTTTAAAGAAAAACAGTGTTGAATAATATTATCCTTTTTAAAAAAAGTAATTTGCAACACAGCTTTAATTTTCCTTTGCAAATAAACCTGTGCAAATCTAGTACTCCTCATTTTACACAATGCTCAAATCATTTTGAGTCATGAAGTTTAAATCCAGTTTAAAAAAAATGCATTATTTTGGTTTGGACACTCCTCTTTTTAGACTAAGTTTCCTATCATCAAAGCTAACATCAGTCCACTTTTATTTTCCCAAAAGATGCCTGCTATTACCTAGAAAAATTTTCTACTTTGATTTAAACTTGAATTTGCATAAAATAGGTAATATTAACTATATCTACCTACCCATATGTAGGTGAAATTTGCATGTTTCCTAAGGAAAAGGGCCTTGGGGAATGTGTTGCTCCACAGACTTGAAGGTGCTGCTCCGTTTTGCTGCAGATGATGAAAAGAAAATGCTGCATTCAGCGTCTCCATCCAGTCTGATCGACTATATATAAAGTAAGGCTCTGCCAAACTGTGTAGTCAAATCCATCTGTCTGCTGGGAGAAAAATCCTTAACAGTGGAATTTCACACATTTTTCAGACAGCTGCCACTTAGTCTTTGTATCCCTGAACATCAGGAAGGGAAACAATTACCAGGCCCCTGTTTCAAACACAGTAAGTGCTTTTCATCAACACTAACATTATCTTCCTAAAGTTACAGGCACAACAAAGCCAAAGTTCCCTTCTTTGTTCAAGTGGCCTTGATTTCTTTTATTATTACCCCTCCTTCCATCCTCTCCAAGTGTTCTAACTATTAAAACTCAAGCTACCTCATATCATAGTACCAAGTATAAGCTAAAATTCTGTGCTTTCGAAGTGTTAAGTTTAACTAGATTCTATTCTTACTGTCAGAGCTTTGGGTGTCTGGGAGAGAAGACAGACATCTGTGCAATTATACTTTTTGTTCTCTTGAGCAAAATTGCATTCACTATTTTTTTGAACGTTGTTACATAGTCATGCTACCAAGTTATCTCAGTTATGTTAGGCACGCAGTTCTTTTCAATTTGCCAGTCTAGGAGGTCTCAAAGTTCAATTGACTGACTGAGTCATCTACAATATAAGTTCCTCTGTCTGAACATATCACTCTCATCCTACATCAGCTTAGAGCCAGTCAATCCGTCAAACTTGGAACACATTTTCTCTAAAAACAGCCAATGATTTTTGACCAGATGAATCACAGCTCAAGCTCCATAGACTCTATTGACTAGCTCTTCACTGGATATAGGAAGAATAAAATTCAGTGGGTGTTTTCCACTCCCCTTCCTTCCTCGGCCTGGTGTTCTTTCATTGCATGGTAATGAAATCAAGTTGTTATGGCCTCAGTCTTACTTGCACCCATCTACAGATATTTAAAAGCACAGATCATCCATTTGGTATCAAACCAAAGGTCCAGCCAGCCCAGAACTTGTTTTCAGTAGGGATCAGAATCATATGTCCAAGAAAAAAATTATAAAAGTAAGTGCATATGATATACCCCCAAAAGCATTCTGCTGGAGTTCAGAAATTTTCAACTCAAAGACCTTCTAAACCGTGGGTGATTTATTTGAATTGAAGTATCCCGAGGAATTTCTCTGCAATGAATTTATCCAGCTGTGCCTTCAATGTACATAAATGTTTAGTATCCTTTTATAGGAATTTCCACTACATCTCTGCCTTCACTTGAAGACCACCTTGAGTCTCCCACTAATGTCCAACTCTCTCCAGCATTGTCCTGGAGCAGACAGTGACTAACTGATCTACTCTGTGCTGTTTGCAACTTTGCTGACCTAAATCCCAGATTTCTCTTAACTCCCTTAACTACCACTTTTTCTGGGCTGAAGATCAAATTAATTATCTTCCATTTTCATTAGTCAGCTGTTCAATGCTTTTTAACATCTCTGTTACAATTCTATGAACTGTGTAGAGTCTTGCTGTATGATTCTAGAGTATAAAATCACAAGCCAGATTTATACAAGGACACAGCATTATTTAGAGTCAGTATTCATTATCATCACATGTTCTTTTTTTGATCTTTATTCTATTCTTAATAATTACTAGTGCTGAATTTTGATCATTAAGAAGAGTAGAGATGATATTTCCAAAAGAAACCCTATAATATGAAAGTTATAATATGAAGATTTCATTCCTGAGTGGTAACAATGAGCTGAGAGTCTCTCATTCCACATGTAAAGATTGAATTATTTTTCTGATGTGCATGACTTTTAAAACTTATATTTATTGGATTGTGTCTGCCATATTAATGCCCAGATACTGTCTTGTTACACCTCTATACCATTTTTTCATTTTGCTCTCAGCCACATTAGTCCTGTCCCTCAAGGATTTACAATCTTGGTTGCTTTACACCAGAACAGCACCACCTCAGTCATAGAGACCTCAAAGCCATTAGTCATGTTTTCTTTGAAACATCATCTACACAGCCACAACTTACCATCAAAACTAATTTCCTCTTCCTGTGAAACATTTCAGGTTCTTAATACAACCCAAATTTCTGTGTGAAGAAGAAGTGAACAAGCCTATGCCATGAGCTGAAGAGAAAGCTATAGAGAATGCCTAAACACATCAAGCTCCATAAACCTTGAATTCAAAAACTGTAAACCTCACCTCTTGGAAAAGCAGAGGTTTTAAATGGCTGCTTAGGAGCTAGGATGCTCTTGGTCCTGCCATCCCTGTGCCCGATTCAAACTTATCTGGTGGATGAAAACCTGCCCGTGTGCCAGCTAAGGAGAGGAATCAGGAGCTCCCTAAGAGCTTAATCCTCCCTGATGGCAAATTTACTTTTGAACTGCTCATGTAGTAGGTGAAATCAAGTTTGAGGAAGAGCTACAGCTGATGTAATAGAACAGGCAGAGTCAATGTCTCCCGAAGGGAAGTTTAACTGTGAGCTGTGCAAATTCGTGTTGTTATATTGAGTGTACACACAGAACATGAAAGGCAGGATCGCTTTTTTTCCTGCTATTAAGTACACACATGCTGTCAGTTCTTAAACTCATTAACTCCAGGACATTTAAGTTCTTCCAGTTTTCTTCCTGATCCTACTGAGAGTTTTTTATTTTTTATAAATTAACTCATCTTCAATTGCTTTGATCCCCTGAATTCCCAGTCAGTTCATTCCCTGATGAGACCAGAGGCTTAACTTGTTTCCACTTGAAAATGAGTATATATACACACATATGCACATAGAGTGAAAGTGTAACTTGTAACTTTTCCAGTTCATTATTTACCCATATATTTAGTTTTCATCTTCCCTTTGGGGAGTAAGTTCCCTAAAGTACTAAGTTTTAATCATAAGACTCATGGCTTTTTGCTCAGTGCCAAAAGCACTGTTTCTAATAACATTTTGGCTCTGCTTGTGTATCCAGAGGTCTACTGCTTTGGGGGAAGGAAAAATGATTGCTTTCCAATATCACTGCCCAGTGTAACACATATCTTTGTAAACATAGGATAGGAGAAAGTCTGCAAAGAACACAGCTGCCCTCAGCCTCACCGTGCACAGGGTGAAAATCTGTGCTCCTTGTTCAACTTAGAATTACTAAATATTTACTTTTTTTGCAGTTTTATCCACTCTTGTTTTGAAGAAAAAAACCATCCAAACTAATAATGCTGCTGGCATCGACCTTGTCCATGCTGTACAAACTCTGCCTTCCACTTGCAAACTTTTATAAAGCAGCCTAATCTTTTGCAGGTCTTGCATCTTTTCAAAATCTTAGGTGTCTTGCATCTCTGTATGATTTAGTGAGGATTCTGACTTCAAACTCTGCATGATTTTTCACTATTTTCTCTCTCTGATTTAATTTTCTTTTTTCTGCAATATTTTGGTTTCCCTGGCAGAACGTTAGCACTGCTAGAGCCTTGTCTGTCCAACATGGAGTCAGTGGTAGCACATTTTTCTGGGCAAATATCAATTGCTGTGTCAAGAGCCTGTTCTAGAACAGGCTCATCTTTGTGTATACTTTGTCTAAAATGTCTTATCTCTGACCTTTTTTCAAGCCTATTAAATGTATCCCTGATAAAATGATGAGGCTGCTTTTTCCAGACTCAGAAAAGTCAAAAGATCACCTCAGCCTTTTTGTCCACTCTGCCATCATCACTCATATTTCATTTTCAGAAAAGTATAAATATTTTTAAAACTTATATAATTAGTTCCACAGCTAGTCACCTATGCATGACTAAACTGAAAATTACTCAAAAATGGGACTGCTCCACACTAGGCTATTTTCAGAAATAAAGTTACCATATGGCTGTTATTTTATTTGTTTTTATGGTGCATATTTGTTGTCATATTTTTTGTACATTCACTTGATTTTTTTAATCATAGAATTATACAATGTCCTGAGTTGGAAGGGACCTTAAAGACCATCTAGTTCCAAGCCCCCTGCTGTGGCCAGAGACACCTTTCACTAGATCAGGTATCTCAGAGCTACACCAGACCTGCCATTTAAAACTTTCAGGGATGGGGCATCCACAACTCCTCTGATATGAATATTGGAGTTCTTCTGTAGTAAAAACTATTTTTCTGTAATTTGCTTTCTGACTTCCCCATTTCTAGTGTTTTGGGCCTGAGAGGTTTAGCTATATCATTCCTTAATTTTCTCATCTCTGTTTTTTCTCGAGGTGGTGCTGAATAGAGAAAGGTAAAGGAAATACTGTGCAAAAGGAGCACCCAAGTGGAAATATTCTCGATTATCCTGTGTTCCAGTTCCAACAGCTTCTAGAGCTGCCAGAAAGGCTGAGCAGACTGTAGTGATACATCCACTAGAACAGCCCCAAAAGGCTTCTGTTTTGAGACTTTCTCTTGTGGTTGCTCTGTTTTCCTTGCTCTTGTTGATTCATGTAGCTGTCTGAATCATTCTGTGTGACCACTCCAACTACATCACACTCTGCTGTCTTCATCTCTGTCCTCTTGTGGGCTTGCAGGGAGACAGGTGAGGTGTGGCTAGAGAGAGCAACCAGGCAAGGCTCCAAGCACAGTGGAACTACCCCAGACCAGAAGAGCTTCCAACATCTCTGCAACATCACTTGGTGCTAACAAACAACTTAGTCACTTTGGCTTGCCCCTGCTTTCACTTCAAAGGTCTTTTCTCTTAAATTCCCAGTTTGTGTGCTGTTCAGATTTCAGTTTCCTTCTTAAACAGATAACTCCAAGAGGAAACCAAGACACAATGACAAGATCACTATGACACTCACTCCAAATCAGGTACATGGGTACCACATCATTGTTTTTCTCTGGCAGTGATATTGTTCTAACAGCCTCTAAGCCAGCCTTGTTCTCTTCACCCTTGTAAGAGCACAAGACACAAAATATAATGCTGGAAAAGCACTGCTCTGATGAGCTCTGACATAACCTTTTCATTCTTTTTGTTCCTTTGAACTGAAATAAAAAGATAAGCAGACCCCAGAAAATAATGAGTATGTGTCAGAGACACAAGAAAACCAAAATGCTCTGAAGGGCACCAATACTGATGGTCGTGTGACATACAGATAGGACTGGTGTCCTCTGGAGAGTGCTAGGACTGCTCAGGGAGGGCAGGAGCGAGGCCACATCAGCTGGGATTTTCTCCACAGTGGGGTAGTTTCCAGAGGTAAGTACCTCTGAAAAGCAAACTCCAGGTTTTCTGCTCAGTGACTGAATGGAAGTTATGCTTCATCATTGCCCAAATTTGAGGCGGCACTGTGTGGTAATAGCTTACCTCTAAAGATTATGCATCTATAACTCTGCATATTGTTTCTGGATATTTGAATTTTTATTTGTCAAGCTGGTAGGGCTGTGGTTTCAATGTGAAAATATGACTGGAAATTTTGTTATTACAGAAAATATTTATTGGGTTTTCATGTCAATATACTTCTCAGAGTAATTCTAGCACAGTGCTTTTGAATAAACTGAGCTTGTTCAGATTGAAACTGAATTTAA